ATGTAAACATTTGTTTGAGAATTATATTTTTGATCCACCTCTTTATTTTGTGACACAGACAATAAATTAATTAACCTTTCAGCTTAGCTCCAACCTTCTCTTTCTTTTTTTGCCCCATCTATACATATGTAACTTTACTTTCCAGTGATCCCTAATAAAAAAGTATTTTTCTTTGTCATGAAGCTGAAGCAATGTCTTTTTATTTCTTTTATTATTTTACAGTTTTTTGCCTATCCATATTGGGGCAGAGACAGATCTTCGATTTGTTTATTGTCTTGGTAAGAACGAAAAACTTTGTGATGTTCATGAATTTGCTTAACGTGATATAACATACCTAATAGCTAATTGATGTATCAATGACCATATATTTTATGTTGGAGGACTGGAGTGGCATGGAGAGGGAGAAAACCAAGGAGTATGTCTTAAAATGCTCAGTATATTTGTTTATAGTGAACTTTTCTTCCATTATCCATCTTTCTGCGATGCATTTTTCAATGAGTTGATAATTTCTATGATATATTTCATTTTTACGTACAAATAATGCTGCTCTTTCCAGTCATATGATAAAGGTTTTATTTACGTTACAGTTATTTTAAATTTAGACAATTTGTTTGTTGGGAATATGGGAGTATACCTAGACCTAATAAAAGAACTTAATTTCATTCCTAGATTTGTTTACGACATATTATACTTCAATATGTGTTCCTATTATAATTATTTTGTGCTTTTGCTAAAGGTTCTCCTTGTTAGACTTTGCTTTAATTAGCTAATTTCTTCTGTCATGAAGTATTTATAAAAAAATGCAAATACTCATTCAATGACAAAATCAATCCAATTAATCCTTTAATAGATTTGAAATTAAAATCAAGTATGTTAGTTTCACTTAGGTTCCACCAATTTTTAACTAAGGCAAAGTTTTTGTTGGAAAACTATGAATGTATTCCTAAGTAGGTCTTAAAATAGAGCTTGATTTCACTCTCAAATTTGTTCCTCTCATACTATGCTTCTTTTTTTTTTTTTTTTTTTTTTTTTTTCAATAACTAGATGTGTTTCTGCTTCGTAATTCAATCTGAAATATCAGTCAATCAATTGGTTTATGCAATGGGACAAAATTAATAGTTACACTATTATAAAAAAGTTATGAAAGCAGCATTATAACATGCAATAGTGTAGGCACTAGAGTGTTTATTCCAATAATATAGGCAATAATATAATTAGTTATGCTTCTTGCCTTTTTTTGATGCAAAAAAAAGGTTTGACATTTTCGTTAGAACCCAACCGCTATAGCAACCCAAGGTAAGTTTTAGACACCTTTTCTTAATATAGATATACCAACCAAATTATTTTACTTAAAATCTAACAATCCATTAAAGAAATAAATAAAATGGGTGTCATCCTCATTCCATGTCAGGGCTTAAAATAAAGAAATTTTTTACCTTTTTGACCATAACTTATCTGTGTTTTTGCATGTGCATACACAGTAGTGCTTTGTCTGGTTACTTGACTTGGATTAATATTCCTATGGGGATAATTCACGTTGGATTTTAGTTCTTGAAAATATCTTTCTGCAACATAACTTTGGTCATGGATTTTTTTCTGTCTGAGTAAACAAACACGAGATGATTAATTTATATTTTGTTTCCTCTTATGATTTCATTATTTCCCTTTTGTCTTACGTATTTTTTTTTTAATTTTCTTACTTGAAATTCAACTGGCATATTCTCATGGGGATCAATGCTCCTAAAGAAGGTTCCTGTGATCCCATTGCACCTCTTGAACAGCCACATTCTCCACATGCAGTTCATCGCGTTTCTCCAACAGATGAGCTCAACATGATAGTGCAATATACATTGCTCTTATGAACTATCTAAGACATTTCTTGGCTATCATTTTGCTAATAAATTAGGAACTGCATTTGACGTCTATGTAAACTCAGTCGTGATTGTCTTTATGAATCCTAACACTACTTTTCTACTCTTTCAAATTTAACTTCTTTTCTATTATGTTTCAGCCTGAACATAATATATATTTTTTCAAAGAACCTCACATATTTTCTGAAATTCTGATGGAGTCTTGAATATCTATCAAGTGACTATTCTGATACCAAAGGTAGTAGTTCCTTTGAAGAAGGATATGGTATGTGAAATTGCATATACTATGAACTTGACTGTGATTGCTCTACATTTTTCATAAACATTTTTCTTGACTATTATGAACTAATTCAAATTCTAAATCCACTTTGGTTGAAACAAATTATGAAAGCCTTGGCTCGCTGGAAACAACCACAACAAATGAGAAACCGATAGTAAAGACCAACCATTAGCTTTGAAAAACAAAAAGATGACCCTACAAGTCCTCTAAAGGCGAATATCTTGCAAAACTAATTTAATTGTTGCATAACAGCTCTATTAAGGGGCTGATTTTTTTTCTATGGCAGAGGGCATGCTATCATAGTGCTGCGAAATCCCATATCCAGGAAACCCTTTCTAGCATGCTTGGTAGCACTTAGCCTTTTTGAACATGTAGCTTTTGTATTGGACTCATGGTATCGTGTAACTCAATTATATGTCCAAAGTTTTTCTTTTTTTCATGCTATTTTGTCCATGCTAAGAATCCGAAGAACATCCTACTGATTATAATTTTGTATACCAAATGGATTCAACAAGGGAAAGAAAGCAGCAATCTTCTAAGAAAAGGCAGATGTGTGACAGAAATTGGTTAACAAGCTAACATCAAGGCCCCTGATTAATTTCTGTCACATATTTGCTTCTTCTTTCAAGATCACTCCTTTCTTTCCCTGGTCAAATCATAGTGATGATCCCTTATCCAGCTTGGTAGATTACACCTAGATTGATATTACTAAGTTTAGTCAAGGATTCAGAAAGCACAATATAAATATGGATCTACAACAAGGCATTAAACCTTCATATCCGTATGCATTAAGCAAGTTGAGCAATGACAGTCTTGCATCTATTCTTTTTTGGATTAGATTTTCGCAATTCAATGAGAAGTGGGGGATTTGAAAATGACAAATGACCTTGGGAATGGAAAGAAACTCTACTAGAAATAAAAATGCAAATGCAATTTCAAAATACCACCAATTGATCACAAATAAAGTGTACAAAAATAATTAGTCATCCGAAAAAGAGATGCAATTTCTCTCTTGCCCAAAGAATTTGCATGTCTTTGTATTGTAAACTTGTCTACTTATGTCTATTATTTATTGATTAGAAGTTTCACACTATTCTACAAAATTTATCATACATTTTCTTTTAACTCATATCTTTTACGAAAAAAAATTTATTTCAGCTGCATAACTACTATCTAAAAACAAAAATACACAACACTTTGTACCATCAAGTAACAATTCACCTGCAGCACGTGCGGGTCTCAAGCTAGTTCAGACTACAAGTGCTTAGATGGCTGCTCATATAAGGAAAAGGCAAAACAATATGCAAGTTACTTGGTGGCTTACATTCTCCAACAGCTATGCTTACGTAGTTAGCTACTATTTACGAAAAAAAAAAAAAAGATGGCCTCCCGCGATGATTGATAGGAGGAAACCTCAAATCTTACACATCCTTATAACGTTGAGATATAAATAAGTTGAAACAAGCATCAATATAATGGGGCCAAGCCAAGAATTATAAAGTAATGCTGTTTGACCAAACTTAATTATATTCTAGCATTCGGTTTGAAATTTTAAGAGTTTGAGGGCCAAACCATGCATGCTGACAGCTACGACTAAGCAATCCTACTTAATTTGGCTGTCATATTAAAGTAGAATTCCAATAATTCATGGCTGTAATGCACTTGCAATTTCAACAACCTCCGACTCTGAAAGGCTTTTCTGAGGGCCTCAAGATGGTTGGGGCTTAAATGCTTAATACATTAAGAGGGAAAATACAGAAAACAAAACATATCTGATGATGCACGTAGGCTAAATTATCAAAATTCTACAGAAGCCAACTGCACCGGGACAACGCAAATATATTTTATTTTTGAGACAAATGTAGAGACAGAGTAGCGCTAGTGGGCAGCTCGAAGTGAAATATAAGAGAGATGGAAAACAGACGCAATTTCTTTGATAGTAATTTTATATTTGCAACAAACAATATCCCTCACAAATATAGCATATCTCAACTTTCTCTCTCTACTTCTTCGCTTTCGGCCTACAAAAATTCTCACCCGCAAAGGCAGAGAACCACAAAATCGAGAGAACCTAGAACATAAAATGGATGGTTTAACCCCCAAAAGAAATAGTTTTTGTTAAACAATCAAAGATAGGCCTTCATGGGTTTTCTTCAAAACCCCAAGAACCTGTTTCTGATATTTCCTTGAAAATCCCAAACTAAGTCTTATGTTGCAGAGGAATAAACCTGTATATCAACTTAAATTTTTATTTAATAAAATTTTCCATTCGAAGTAAAAGATTTTAGGAGAGGGAGAGCCTTGTGGTATGGAAGAGGAGAGAAAGAGAGGCATATACTGAAAATTCTGGGAAGGAACTGGGAAGGAGATGACAAAACCCTTTTATTTATTATTGTTATTTATTTATTATTTTTTTTTTGGGTGTTGTAACCGGTTCTATAGGTAAATCTGGTAATGATCAAGTAACAAAAAAGTCATTAAAACTCTAAGTAGCCATAGCCTGGACAAAAGAATTTTTATTTCAAAAACCAATTTCTTCAACCCTTTAAAACACTTGAAATAAACAAGTGCTAATATGAACCTCGCCAAAAGCACTTGAAATGGTAATAACGTAAAGAGAGCCAACGAAAAACCTCAATTTACCTTTTGAAGGAACAAATAAGCACAAACAAACAGGAGAACTGAATTGAAATCAATGCTGCTACATCAAATATTAAAAGAAAGTTAAAAAAAAAAGGACTCATTTCACATCTTCCACTATCATTTTCTTGGATAAGTTGCAGAAAAAGGATCTTCATGTTTTTAATTTTGAAGATAAAAAACTATGGAGATTCTAATTTCTTTTCTTTTTAAATTACGTACTTTTCTTGGCCACCAAAAGCAGCATAAGCTAAAGAAGCAATAGCTACCTGAGAGAGAACTGAGATCAGAATAGTAGGGGTGAATACACTTCAATAGAAAACCTTTATTAACTTCTAGGTGTTTTTGGCCTAAAAATCTGCACATCAAAGCCTTCACGAAATCCTGTACCATCAGCATCCCTATGACTACAATAATTTACCCTGGCCTGATAAGTTGTTGTCTCATTTTAGATTCAGCCTCCAAGGTTATGTAGTAAACACGAATACTTTTTATAGCCAGAGTTGCCTTGACAACCTTGTCAAACTTGAGAATTTTCTTGCCCTTCTACGTACATCAACAAAAGTTCACATTAGAATTCAATCCGCCTGTTGTAACAAGTAAGATCTGTGTAGTTTTGAAAACTATACCTTCTTCACATTGTAACGGTGAACAGCAACTCGAGCACACCTTTCAATGGTTGCAGCCTCCGGACCTTGGAGTTGATCAACAGGGTCCATCCACCGTTCGACCAAAGGAGTATCATTCTCAATGTCAAAACCCTAACAGAGTAAACATTAGCATATATATAAATAAATAAAATTCAATTGTTGCTGTTTTCAATCAGAATAAATTACCTTAGAATTTCGAACATCGCCAACATAACGAACTAATTCTTCCTTTGTCTTGAGATCAATTTAATCATTCTATCAATTTGATATTCGAACATATTAGTGTCCCAACCATCATCTATCTCGAAGATTCCTTTCTTTCTTTTGTATGTGTGTGTGGGGGAAGGGTGGATGGTGTAGCGAGAGAGCTCTTCAAATAATTCTGACGTCTTAAAAGCAGAAATCTTGATCAATTCAATTGTAACGGATCAAAGTAGTCGTGTTTGAATTATATTATTAGAAGCCAAATCAAGAATCCAACAACCGAAATTCGTATTCAAAACAAAGCATATGGCATGAAGAGAATTATATACCAAAATAAGCATACTGCTTTTCATATTAAAAACTTGGAATTGAAACCCTTCGTTGTTAGCAACTTAATGTCTTCAACACCCTAGCAATTTGCTTGTCAAGTATATCTTTGATTCCTGGAGCAATCACTCATTATCTTGTTGGACTCCAACAAGGATGTGCGCACTTCATGCACTTCGCCTTGACACTCCTTGCTTGTATTATATTGGTGGAAAGCCTAATGCTGATTTTTGCAAGCACATGCCAAATTTCCTTATGGGTGAATAACTGGAGCTGGAATACGAGGGTTAATGATACCAAGTGGGGGTTTCTTTCGGTTGCCTCATGATCTTCCCTTTTCCTTTTGGAGATATCCATTATACTACTATATTGCCTTCCATAGATATGCATATCAAGGACTCTTTCAAAAATGAGTTTGAAGGACTTACATTTCCTACCGGCCAAGTCCTTCAAGGAGAAGGACCTTCTTACATTAGAGGTGAAGAGATTTGAGAAACCTATGGCAAGTGGAAATGAGCCTATAATTAGACAATATAAGATAATGTATGCAGTAACTCCACCATATCAGCTAAAGATGTATGCATGTTTTAACATAGACACGAACACTTGGATTAGCCCAATAATTGCAAAGTGCTTTCTAATTATCTTCCGTCAAGTTCTTGATGTCGGGCTTATTTTCTTTCACCTCCTCAACTAAGTTGAACTTCTTAAAATGTTTGTTCAAGAGATAGCATGCATTCCTAGATCGATTCTTCAACAAGTCTTTAATTTTTTCTTTAACAAAGTCATCATCTATATCTTTCACTTCCATATAGATCCGAATAATTTGAAAAAAAAAATGAATTTCATATTAGAGCTAGGAATTCGGTTAATGGATCTCCTTAAAACCCAATTTTATATTAGAGCCAAACAATACTTACATCAAGGTTATCCAATGCAAGGTTGAAATCTCCTACATTCATGTCCTTCCATTTAGTCGGCACATGAATACATTGTCGAGAAATGAATCTCAACCGATTTGATAACTTAGCGGATTGAGTCCTAGTAAGTGGTTTTCCCATATCCATGTCAATATTAACTTTCAGCTTTTGCCCAACTAATTTGTTCAACTTTTGTAATCCTTTACCTCTTGTGCCCCTACGTTTTGTTTTGACTAAGTTTGAAGCTACAATGATCGAGAAAAAGGTTAAAAATTTATGTAAAATGTTATTAATAAAACAATGGATACTTACAAATAATTGATAACAATATACATATATAACATGAACTCGCTTGTTGGAGTAGGCAAATTGGCGAGTCACTATTCGATGTTGGGATAACAATGGGAGGAGGCGGCGTTTGTTCATCTTGGGGAACATCTTGTGGATTGGTTGCTGAAATATTAGTTGAAGAAGATGCACCATTAACGGCTAATTGTGAAGGACTAGTTGGTGAAGCAGTTGTAGCTTTAGATGCTCTAGTGCGAGGTCGTAACATCGAAACCATCGTATGACACACCTAATGAACAACATAGCATAGAGAATCCTAGTTAAGCAAGAATCAATAAAGAATAATTAATCATTAATTTATAGCAATAAACCAATTGAAAAAGAGGAATTGTAATTATATGAATTATCAATCATCAAAGTAAGGGTTTTCCTCATCACTATAATAATTAAGTAAAGTATCATCCTCTTCTTCACTTTGATTAGAAACAAGGTCATCATCTTCTTGCACAACTCTTTTGCTACTTTCAAGAACATTGACTTTTATAACTTGTGAGTCCACATCGACTCTATATAATAAAGCTATGTTTGAATCCGAAATAATATCAACACCTACACTATCTTGTATTTCATTTTCTTGATATACTTCATCATCGAAGACCGATAGTTCATCTTCATCCCTCATCCGACTTGGTAATATTGGCACATCAAACACATGCCTATGCTGAAATTGTTGAACTACTTGCCAATTATGTCCTAATTTTATGTCATCAATATAGAAAATTTGTTTAACTTGAGAAGCTAACACATAAGGCTCATCTTCATACCATGTTCGAGAAACATTAACACTTGTAAAATTACCATTTACATGTATACTTGCTTTTTTTCTACTAAGATCAAACCACTCACATTTAAAAAGTACAACTCTTTTATCTTTTATGCAGTCTAACTCTATAATATCGGTAAGCACCCTATAAAAAGTGACCATATTGTAACAATAATTTGCTTCTATTACCACCCTACTATTTTGACTTTTAAGTCGTTCATCATGATTCTTGGTATGAAACCTAACCCCATTAATGATGCAACTATTATATTTCTTTACATAAACTTGAGGTCCGTATACTAACGAATATAATGCCTCACTTGCTTCTTGTGATCGTTCATTATATAAACGCATTATCTACAAGATAAAGGAATTAAGGTAATGTGAGATGATGCAATAAAAAAAATTATTATACAAGTTTTAATATTTTTTTAATTAGGTCCTTACGCGTTGTTGAAACCACAAAGAGAACCTTGCTTTATGCCTTTCTTCCACATCTAATTCACTTTCCTATATAAGCTCTTCTATATGGCAACTAAGAAAATTATTGCATGTCAATGGTAAGTAATTGTTCAATATCTAAATAAAATTTGATAATTCAATAAAATTTCAAGTTGACTTACTCAATATATGATTCCACTTCTATGCAATTTTTTAAGATATACCAATGACATATTTGAAGCTCCTTTGTTGAAATATTAACATATTTTACGACTCCAAATGGTCGAAGCCTATGTAAAAAAGGGACAAAACACTTGTCTCCTAAAACATCAAAATTGAGTTCGGTCTATTGAATTGAGTTTCATTTCCATGAAGATACATGGAAAAAAATGTCAAACATTCTCCAACAATATAGGCCTCAACAATTGAACCTTCCGGATAAGCTTTGTTACGCACAGTTCTTTTGAAAGACCTCAAATGTCTACCATAAATAATTCATACATAAGAATTATTATTACAAGTAATTTCATAAGTGAAGAAAAAATCTTAGGTAAGTAATTTCTCATCGTTCAATGGGAAAGATCCATCTAAATTGAACTGGACCTCCAAGAATAGCCTCGTATGGTAAATGAACCGCTAAATGCACCATTACATCAAAAAAGCTAGAGGAAATATCATTTCAAGTTTGCAAAGTATTGAAATAATATATGTTCTCATCTTCTTAAGATCTTCAACCTTCATGTCTTACTACATAACCGTTTGAAAAAATCTCCTAACTCAACTATCGTGTTAGCAACATCCTTCGACAAGCATCCATGAATGCCAACAGGAAGCAATCGTTGTAAAAGAACATGGCAATCATGGCTCTTCAAACTTGATATCTTTCCATCACTTATATTCACACATCTAGCAATATTGGAAGCATACCCATTTGGAAACTTCATTGATTTTAGAAATTCACAAAATTTTTGTTTTTCCTCCTTAGATAATACATAGCATACTGCTTGGTATCATATATCTACCATCACTTTTTTTTTACCAAATGCAACTCTTTTCTTATATTCATGTCCTCCAAATCTTGTCTACCCTTGAATGTATCTTTATTTTTCCCATCCAAACTGAATAATTTTCCTAAAATATTCTCACAAATATGTTTCTTAATATGCATCACATCAAGATTATGTCGTAACCTAAGTGTATGCCAATGGCAACTAAAAAAGAATACTTTTTTTGGTCTAATTCAACTCATGAGGAGTACGCTTCCTCTTTTTATTTGTTGGGTATTTTCCAAAATTGACATTTTAAGATTTTCTAATTGACGCAACACATTATCTCCCGATAACTCCATAGGAGCCAATCGACATTCAATCTTCCCATCAAACTTTTTACATTTTCTCCAACTATGGTCTTGTGGTAAAAACCTACGATGCCCTATGTAACCAATTTTAGTTCTTAACTTATGGGAACAAGTTTGTTGGTTACATACAGGACAAGCTATATAACCCTTTGTACTCCATCCAGAAAAATTACCATATGCGGAAAAATCATTTATTGTCCACATTATGGCAAGCATACATTTGGAAAATTTGTCCACTTGAAACATCATATGTTCTAACACCAACTTCCCATAATTCCTTTAACTCATCAATTAAAGGTTGCATGAATACATCAATATCCCTTCCTAGTGCATGAGGCCCTAGAATTAATAGTGATATGATGAACAAAATTTCTTTCATGCATTTCCATGGTGGTAAATTATATGGCACAAGAATGATTGGCCACATGCTATAAGAGCTATTCATATTACCAAATGGATTGAAACCATCGATTGCTAGGCTCGGTCGTACATTATGAGAATCATTAGAAAACCATGAAACTTCCCATCAAAATCTTTCCATGCCACACCATCTACTGGATGTCTTAAAACACCATTATCAACACGCTTCTCCTTATGGCACCTCATATCTACAACTATATAGGTAGACATAAACAACCTTTGAAGCTTGGGCATTAAAGCGAAATATCATAAATTTTTAAGAGAAATCTTCTTTCCTTTACTATCATGATTTTCCATCTTGAGGTATCATATTTAGGGAAAGATTCATGAGATTCATGCTCTTTCAAAAACAAAGCACAATCATATTTACAAGCATGTATAGGGATATACCTTAATCCTAACTCACACAACATATTCTTTGCCTTGCAATGACTTTTTGGAAGTGTCTAACCACTTGGTAGAACTTGTTTAAGTAACTCAAGTAACATGTCAAATAATTTATTTCTCCACTTATTATA